AGTGTGTGAGAGATACATCAATCTCCCTACAAGTCTCTGATATCTTCCCTTGTTAGTTGCAGTTTGATCTTCTTCAATGCACAACTTCAATCCCTCTTCAATTGGAGAATTTGTTGGTTTGTATATTGCCATTCCAGTTTCTTTTAGTAAATCCAATGCATACTTTCGTTATGAGTGAAAAATACCTGACTTTGATCTTGAGACCTCAATTCTAAGAAAATATTTCAAAGGACCAAGATCCTTCATCTCGAATTCCTTTGTCAAGTACTCTTTCAATGTTTTGCGTTCCTCTAGATCGTTTCCTGTAATTATCATGTCATCAACATAGACAATAAGAATTGTAATATTTTCTTCCTTTTTCTTTAGAAACAAGGTATGATCTTGGTTGCACTGTTGGTATCCAAAAGCAAGCATTGACTTGGTGAATCTACCAAACCATGCTCGTGGCGATTGTTTTATACCATACAATGACTTCTTCAACTTGCATACCTTCTTGCTATGTGTATTCGGGATCCTACATCCTTCTAGTAGCTCCAAATAAACTTCTTCAGACAATTCCCCGTGTAAGAAGGCATTTTTTACGTCAAATTGTTGTAAGGACCAATCAAGGTTTACAGCTAGAGATAACAATACTCGAACTGTACTAATTTTGGCTACGGGAGCAAACGTTTCAATGTAATCTATTCCATATATTTATGTGTACCCCTTTGCCACTAATCTAGCTTTGAATCTCTCAATTGTGTCATCTGCATTAAATTTCATAGTATACACCCATCAACATCCTACTGGTTTCTTTCCAACTGGACAATCTACTAATTCCCATATTTTATTTCTTTGCAAGAATCTCATCTCCTCATTCATAGCATCCTTCCACCTGGAGTTAGCTAAAGCTTCCTGCACACTATTAGGAATAGATACAGTAGATAATTGACTTATAAATGTGATATTTGAGTTAGACAAATTCTGGTTACAAAACATAATTACTCATAGGGTATCTTGTCTTACTAGTGAGGTCAGGATCATAAGTAGGCTTAGGGATACCTCTAGTGACACGATCTGGCAAAATTCTTTTTTCTATATTAGGTTCTTGAGAGGACGATTGGTGTGGTATATCATTAGCATCAACAGACAAATTTTCGATCTCAACATGCTCCAAATCTTCCTCATTATGTGGTTGTTGATCATAACATTGTTGCATACTTTCATCATCTCTTGATACAACTTTGTAACTTTCTTTCTCCAATATGATCTCAATATCAATTTCTTGAGGAACAAAAGTCTGAACTTCATCATAATTCTCCCCCTGAATTTCAGACTCGGGGGAAAAATATATCAAGGTTTCATGAAAAACTACATTTATAGTAGTAAACATTTGCTTGGTTTGTGGATTGTAGCACCGATATCCTTTCTGGTGATTCGCATTGCCAAGGAACACACACCTTTCAGCTCTAGGAGACAACTTACTTCTCTGATGCTTGTGTAAGTGAACATAAGCAACACAACCAAAAACTCTATGTGTTAGTTCAGCAATTTTAGGACTTACTACTGCATCTGTAAGTGATTGAAGAGGTGTTTTATACTCAAGAGACCTGGACGGTGTTCGGTTGATAGTGTATACTGCATATGTGAGAGCTTCTCCCCAATATATTGCTGACATGTGAGCTCCAATTAGTGCAACTCGGACCACCTCCAATAGATGACAGTTCTTTCGTTCTACCACCCCATTCTGTTGTGGAGTACTTGGACAAGATCTTTGATGAACAATTCCTTTGGCTACTAAAAAATGTTGAAGTTCTGATTGCATATATTCTCTTTCGTTGTCACTGCGCAGTACCTGAATTTGTGCTTTATACTAGGTCTCAATCATTTTGCAGAATTTCTGAAATAGTCCTCTAACTTCACTTTTAGACTTCATCAAACATAACCAAGTCATTCGAGTACAATCATCAATAAACGTTACAAACCACTTTGAGCCACCCAACGTTGTAACCTTAGATGAACCTCATACATCAGAGTGAATGATCATAAAAGAAAGAGAAATTTTATTTAAAATTAAAGGAAAATGTGTTCTATGACTCTTTGCACGCTCACAAACATCACAATAAAAAATTGAAGTGTCTACTTGGTAAAATACATTTGGAAATAATTTCTTTATGTAACCAAAAGATGCATGTCCTAGACGCTTATGTCATAACCAGATATCCTCGCCTTTTCTTACTTCTTGAGACTCTTTTGTTGCTAGCACTTGACCAAGTATCTTTGAATCTTTTTATGTAAAGTCCAGGTAATATAACCTTCCTCGCCTAATACCACAACCAATTGTCTTCCTCGTTTGAATATCCTTAAAAACACAAGAGTCAGGCCCAAAAATTACAACACATAAAAGAGTTTTGGTTATTTGCGAGACTGACAATAGGTTATATTTAAGAGAAGGAACAACAAAGACAGTATCAAGATTCAAATTGTTTGAAATAGAGACAATTCCTTCTCCAATAATAGTGGATTTACTATCATTGGCTGTGAATATACTTTTTTGTGAGGAAGGTTTAAGATTTTTAATTTGTCTAACATCAAAAGTCACATGATTAGAACATGCAGAGTCAATTATCCATGCATTATTCAGAACGGTAAATGTGCTTATTAAAGCCTTACCATTAGAATCATCACTACCTGCGATTGTGGCAACCATCATGTCTTTGTCGTCCTCTTTGTCAATGGCAGTTACAGTAGCAACAGTTGGATTTCTTTTTTAATTCTTCTTCGATGCTCGACTGTGATCCCACCACTCGGGGTATCCTATGATTTCATAGCATCGTTCCTTGGTGTGTCCATCCTTATTACTCTGAGTACACTTGTAGTTACCTTTTTTAAAATCTTTTGTTTGCTTCGATTTGCTATGGTGAATTGCTGGCTGCTTCTTTGTCATCATAGCTGTGGAATCAGAAATCATATCTTCTGTTTTCAACGTTGTTCGCCGGACTATCTCTCTCCGGATCAGATCTCCAAGGATTTTGAAAGAAAAAGAAGAAAAGTTATTAAGCTCTGGTACCAAATTAAAAAACATAGAACTCATTCTATATTTTATTCATGTTATTTTTGTACACATATATTATGATCTTATAATATTTTACTCTAACAAATCAAGACTAAATATAGAAAGTTCTGATTATACAATATTTTGTACCGCTATACAAACTTATAATTTAGCTAATAAAATATCTTTATCCCAACAAGAAGTTAAAATAAAAGTTATTTTTCATGGTTACTAAATAATATGAATATTAAATCTAAATTATTTTAAATTTCGGTGCATATTTGTGAACCTTTTCTTTCATGTAGTAGCCACATTTATTATAATAAATTTTACCTAATTAATTGAAATCGATAAAGATATTTATAAATTTCAATCAACACAAAATAGAAAAATATATAAGACTTGATATAATATTTAAAATATATATTAGAAATAAAAATATATTTAACTTAATTTTATAAAATCAATTTTTAAAAAAATATTTATACTTTAATTATATATATAATATGTAATATTTTAAAGATTTTAAAACAGTTTTCACGTCTTGGTATTTCAATAATTTTAATAATTATATAATAGTCTCAATATTATTAAAATTAAATTTGATATCATATTAAAAATAAATAAAATTTTAATTCAATTCAGACTTAAAAATAAAATTTACACCTTATTTAAATATATATTATAAGTTGATTATCGATTAAATGTTACATTTCGTCTCAAAGAATACATCATTATTGTACATTTCATAACGAAATTAAGTAAAAAATATTTCTTTAATTTTTGAAAGAGTGTTGTTCTGTAAAATTCGTAACAAGATTAATTGTACCCTCAAATAATTTCTACAATGTAGAGATACAAGTAGGATGCAAATATATGCTCATTTGATGGAGCAATCGACTGAACAAAATAAAGGCATTTGAAAAAATGATGCAAATAAAGGCATTTTTGTTTCTTATCTAATGCAATTATCATATATGGTGCTAAAAAAGTGATACAAATATAGTAATCATTCAACCAAGTATAAATGGTGCTTTAACGAGTAAAAAGTTTAGTCGTTATTTCTAAATTAATTTTTTTAATCAATTGCCTTAAATGAAAGTATCTGTCTTACACTTCATTTAATTAATAATTATATTTAGAATTAATTTATTTGTAGAATTTATTTGAACTAAAGGTTATAGTCGAAATACTACTATATAATTTCAGGAGAGTTATTAATTTAAATATACACTAAATATTCATTTATTATTTTATATTAAAAAAGATGCTGCTACGTCAAGTGTCACGTTTTAGAGAAAAAAAATATCGCTTAGAAACTACTTCTCAGCTTCTCATTTCTTTAATTTATTCGAAGTTAATAAAGAAAATTTAATCCAATAATTAGCAAATCTAAAAGGAATTCCTTGGCTGTTTTTCTCTACTCACCTCTTGTCCTACTACATTTCCTTTTCTTCCTGGTTAAACACAAGACCCTGATATGGGTAAGTTATTTTTTTGTGATTATTATTTTCTCTTCATAACACTCAATAATATATTAATACTCTGTTATAAACAAGTTTTGTTTGTCTTATTTTGCTTTTCTATGTTCTCTTTGGTAATGAGACAATTGGCCTTGGCTTATACTTATCACACTTGTTTGTACGCTGGAAGCACTTATCCTAACTTGATCACATGCAAAGTCAAAGTAGCACTGTATTTATCTACTTCACTATTCCAAACACCGTCTAGTGTTCTATGCAAGTCATTTGGCTTCTTTATATCGTAATCTGACATTTTAGTTTCTTGGCTGGCCCCAGGCCTGCCTTCATCATTTTCATCAACTTTTGTTGGCCTTCTTATTCTTATTTTCTTATCTTCCTTTTGCTTTCCTAAAGCCTCTACCATATCTATATAAAGCAGATAATTGGCAACAACATTTATCAATCTACCGTCACGTTAATTTAAGAGTTCAGATTTCACAACCATGGCCATGAACAACTCAAAAAACCTTCTCTCTCTTCTCACCATCATCGTTTCCTTCCTTGGCCTCACCCAAAAAGTGAAGTCAGCATCTTTCTCATTCCCCAGTTTTGGGTCGTACACAAACGCCATTACCCTCCAAGGTGATGCCTATGTTTCAGAAGGGGCCATAAACCTTACACCTGTGGCACCCAACAACGCTGGTCGAGCGTCCTATGCTGCACCCGTCCACCTTTGGGATGCTAAAACTGGGAAGCTCGCTGCCTTCAACACAACCTTCTCCTTTGTTGTTGCGCCAAACGGTCCTGGATTATTTGGAGACGGCATTGCCTTCTTCCTGGCTCCGTTCAACTCCAACATCCCAAATAATTCATATGGTGGATTCCTTGGACTTTTCACTCCCGACTCTGCCCTAAACGTATACCAGAATCAAATAGTGGCTGTGGAATTTGACTCCTTCGGCGGCAACCCCTGGGATCCTCCCTCTGCCCATATAGGCATTGATGTTAACTCCATTGCTTCGGCGACAACGGAGAACTGGGAACCTAACAATGCTGGAAACGAGGTCGTTGCATATGCGAGTGTGATGTATGAACCTGTTGGCAAAACTTTGGAAGTGGATTTAAAATACCCTGGAACAAATGTGACCGTGAGTAGGCTCTCGTTTGTGATTGATTTGAGGACTGTTCTGCCGGAATGGATTAGGGTTGGGTTCTCGGGTGCCACTGGACAATTGGTTGAAATACACAACATTCTTTCTTGGACCTTCGCTTCTACCTTCTATTAAAAACAGTTGTGTCTGTCTCCCTATGGTCAATGGAGGAAAGACCCACATCTGTGTTTGTTTGTTTTTCTTTAAAAAAAAAAATGCAGTCAAAGGTTGTTAAGTTTATTTAAATATGATGTACTCTCAATAAGTCTAATGAAGTTGAATCTAGAAGAATCCCAAGAACTTACATATTATCCACCAACAAAATCTTCACGTTCACATGCAGCTTGACTCAAACTCGGCCTTACATGATATTAATTCAATTCTTACGTATCAAATAAACCAACTTTAGTTGACATCAAATAAACAAAACAAAAAAATAATCCCACTACTTACAAAATGTTAATCATTTAGTGTCTCATGAAGTTTAACAAAATTAAAATAAAATAATTAGAAATAATTGGGTCCCATCAACCCAGTTGGCGCATTTTGTTTTATCATCCAACATTTATGTTCTACGTAAAAATTAATAATTATTTTTATTTTGATAAAAAAATTCTAATTGTAATTAAACCACGGGTGAAGATAAATATAGTTAACACCGAACTAAGAATTGACAATGTCAACCAAAGAACTATAGAGAAACGATCTTGCTAAAGTTAATCATAAATAGTTTGACATATTTATCTAAATTGGATTAGAGGAACTCGTTTAACTACTAAGAATCAATCTATTGATCGGTCTGTTATTTAATAATAATTGGTCAAACAAAATATTATTTTAAAAAAAATTAAGATAAATAAAAACAAAAAACTGTAAATGTGTATAAATTATTTTATTAACTATTATTATTATTATTATTAATTTATTTCATATAAACATATAGTTTAGGCATTTATACTAATTTATAGCCTTTTATATCTTAATTTTTTTTAATATTATATCGATTTTTTATATTCTACTTTTAACTGTAAACATGTTATTATTAATGAAATTTATTCATTATAAAATTTAAACTTAAATATTAAGATATATTTAATTTAAGCTTTTATATGTATAATTTGAATATTAAGTTATCAACTAGTCAAATTTTAAACTCTTATATGGGTTTCATTGTGATATACCACCGTGTTAATCATTTGAAAATATGAAATTATGAATGATATATGGAAAATGAATTAATTTAAATTAATTAAACGAGTATCTTTTATATTACATTTTATTTTATCGTGTGAGTAAAAATTAATAATAAATAATTTGGTGGATTTTTTTAAACAAAATAATTATATATGTAGGTATCTATTTTATTATATGTGTAGTAGTTAAATAAATATATTAAATTTGACTTATGAAAGTAAAAGCTGGAATAGCTCAGTTGGCTAGAGCGTGTGGCTGTTAACCACAAGGTCGGAGGTTCAAGCCCTCCTTCTAGCGGTTTTTATTTTTTTCTTTTCATTTTCATTTATATTTTATCCCTCTGAGGTTTTCTATTTTTATTCTACGTTTATATTTCATCTTTGTACTCTTTTGTGTTTTAGCGTTTTTTGTTCTACTATAAGGTAAAATCTTCAAATAAGAATAAATATTTTCAAATAATTATAAGGATTTTAATTCATATTGAGAAAACATACTCTGCGTGAAAATCAGACATGCTCCTTATTGTAACTTGAACAATTTTCCAAATTCTTGAAGTAGAAGCACACAAATTTACACCACTAAATTGAATAAAAGAAATGAAAGAGAGCTTTTATTTATTTATCTGATTTACTAGTTGAGGGAAAAAGAAAAAAATAAAATATATGTGCTCCGATTGTTGTTTCTTCTTCAAATTATATATCACATTTTGAGTTTTGCCAGATAAAGAATGTATTTTATAATAATTTATTTTGAATTTTTATTTTATTCTATCTATTTTTAAAATTAAAATGATTATTGACAAAATATATTTATTAAGGATATTTAAATTTTGTTTCATTTATTTTTTTATTAGTTTTTAAAAATCTTTAAGAAATTAATTAAAAAAAACTAAAAAATGTTTTATAACTATAATTTAAAAATTATTTGAAATAAAAAAAAGTGGTAATACAAAATCGTAACGAAAACTAAAAAATAATCTTAATAATTTTTACTAGGTAGGGTGAAAAATATAATACAACTATTTATAATAAAAATATGATGCCAAAAGATATAATTTATTTTTTAAAATTTTAAAAGTAAGAGACTAACAACTGATTTTAAAAACAAATAAACCTTTAGTTCCTCCAACGTTAGAATTGTATTCATTCAAATAGATTGTCTATTCTACGTTAGTAGAAATATGTTTGACAAATTTATTCATAAATATGTTAAAAAAATGAAATATATTTCTTTATAAATTAAAATAACTTATGTTTGACAAATTTAATAATTATTAAGTAAAATAAAAATATTATTAAAAAATATTTATTTATTTTTTCATAAATAAGAGTTAGATTTGAGTGAATAAAAATAAATAGTCTTTAATATTAATTTCACGATCACGTTGATGCTTCAAATTATATAAATAAAAATAAAGAATTAAAAAAATAAAAAATTATTTAAAGATTAAATCTAAGTTAGATTTATATGGATTAATACCAACTAATCTTATCTATTTTGATTTGCTTTAATTTGATTTGACGAAATTTAACTTAATTTAATATTTTACGGTATTATAACTCAATATAATATTATACGATATAACATAATTCGTCTTAATTTATTCCACCATATTCAATTTAATCCAATTTAATTTGATTTGATTTAATATTTATTTTTTATTTTGTAATTAAAAAAATAATTTAGTCAATATCTAACCTTAATTTAACTAATAATATTAAATTTAAAATAGAAAAAAAACTAGATGAATTCATTAATATAAATTTAAAGTTATTTGAATTTAAATAATTATGAATTAAATATAAATATTTAGATTTAAGTGTGGTGGTCAAAACTTGAAACCATTTGAAGATGAAACAATTCTATATTAATTGATTCACAAGTTTCATATTATCTTAATTTTGTCACTACAACATTCTTTTAATAAAATCTCTTTTCTGAAGATATTAGCCATCAAAATATTATGATTTCCTTTTGAATTTACAAAGTGTTGAATATATATATACGTGCCTCAATGATAAAACAAATTCATTATATTAATTAATTTAAAATATTCAGAGAAAAAGAGCCGGCACCAGCATTATTTGTTTGGTTTATCACCATCTTCAACTTTTAGAATTTGTTTAATTCTTATTATTTTTCTCCGTGACTTATTTCTTAATTTGACAAACATATAAATTTGTCTTGTTACTCATGACTCAATTAATTTTATATATTTCTCTCTCTAGGAAGATATCTTTTCCATAAAAACCTTACAAACATTACATCAAAATGCAGGCCGATTCAGCTGATACTTGGAAAACTTTTATCAATGTCTTGGACTAGGTCAAACACTCCATATATAAAATATAATCGACAAAGTTCTTGTCAAATAAGAGCAGAAGATATGAATATTATATTTATTTTTTTAGAACTTAAAATCTTAATTACACAATAAAAATTCGTCTTCTTTAAAAATTTCCATATATTCGTATATATATGAGTGTTTATTTATATATCGGTATTTCAATTTGTATCCTGACTATATAAATTTTTACTTATATAATTTAGTTTATATCAATAAATACTTTTAAAAACATAAAATATATTTTAACTAAACTTTTATAATGAATAAAATATTGTTAGGTAAATAAATTATATTTTTTAATATATAGTAATACATTTATATTCATTATTGTAACCATTATAAAAAAATTGCTATTATAATATAATGTGTATTATCTGGATTTCATATGTTATCAACTTAATAGATAATAAAATAATTTTTAGGATCCAAGAATATGATTTTTCTTCACTTAATTTTCTCTCCATTATCCCTATGGTTAAATATTTTCAAAGATTAGATAAATTATTACAAATATAATATAAATCAATAGTATAAAAAAATATATCACACACCTTTAATAAAAAATCTTAAAACATTAAAAAATCTTAAAACATTAAATTATAAGTATTTCTTTCATATGTATTGCTCAATTTTATTATGCTTATAGGTTATTAAACTCAAATTTTCTAATAAACATCAATATTCATATTACACTAAGATATTTAAAATACCATATAATAGTAAATCAAACTAAACATGCATTTCTCCTTTCATAAAAACGTACATATGTTTTCACTACCATTATATATTACTTAAATAAATAAATTTCCTTAATATATACATGAATCCTAATTAAATTGTCCTTTATAATATCGGGACAACATTTTTACATAACAATAGAAATTATTAATTGATTTCTTTTTCTTATACTTATAAATAACTAAAGTTGTATAATTAGAACAACTAACTTACCTATTAAATTTTTTATTTGGGTGCATCTACTTGTTGTTTCATTAACTTCTTCTTAACACTTCAAAATTTGAAACTTAATAATGACTCACTACTTCAATCTTAAAAAGGACATAGCTAATCTAATTTTAGTAAGATAAATATTTATATAAAATCTATTCAGCTTAATTTTTTATTTATAAAACTTCCTAATTAATTCAATATATTCTTTTTAATATAAAAATTAATGATTTTACAATTATAACATAATATTTTTTAAAATTATTGATAACTTTTAAAAATATTAAAACCAAAACTTAAAAAATGTAAAAAAAAAATTGATCGAAGGAAGCTACTTAAAAAATACTCTTACTTATAAAAAATAATTCCTAAAAGGCTTTTATTTAATAATATTATTGTAATTTATATTTAAAAGGATAATGTAAGTGTTGATGGTAGCTTATTGGCACGGCCCATGACAAATGGATGAAAGTTCGCATCACTCAACATAATGTCTACCGCCAGGACAATATAAGTATACAACGATTCCTCCAAAAAAATTTAAAAATGTGTTTGTTTTTATATTATAATAATTAGTTAGTGAAAGCCAAATATTTTGAATTCACCGTATACCTACTTAGAAACAGTTTAAAACATGCTCTTGTCA